TGATTTTCTCTCTCTCTCTCTCTCTCTCTCTCTATATATATATATATATATATATATATATATATATATATATATATATATATATATATATATATATATATATATATATATATATATATATTAGAGTTATGACTTTTTATCAATCCCAAGCTCCTGTACTGTAGTTTGATGAACTTTTACCAAAAAAGCATGAAATGAACTATTATTTGCATATTTTTCAAAAAAGTTCAGACCATTGACCTTGCTCTTGCTTGTTGCACAGAAGGACTCGAAGGTGCAATTTGTCTTTATTTTTGCATGATAAATAATTTTCTCCATTACTTTGATTGCGCACTCTGCACATTGATTACTTCTGGGTATCTGTAGTATGGATGGCCCTCGCTTTCACTGATTTTTCAAAGAACTTAAACCCTTTTAGTATGGATTCAGTATTTCAGCCAAGTTATTAAAGTCGTTTTTGTTGTGCAGTTGGTCTGTAAACCATACTTTCTGAAGAACTGTCTTTGTTGGAGGAGTTAAAATGAAGGCCAGTATCGCTAGTATAGATCTGAAGTTTTACCTCGCATTGCTGATGTTGGTATTTTGTGAAACCTGATCAACGGAAAATACCCCTTTTCCTCAAAAAATCGGAACACTCAAGTGAGGTGAAACAAAAATTTCATATTACCTCTCCAGCCTGAGGTTTTGAGAATTACTTCTGTTCCGTTTTCAAACTGTATTTTCAGTTGTTTGTACTCCTTCAGCAGTTGAGTTACAAATGGATATTCGATTTTAGCGATTGTGTTTTACTTCCAAGTTCTTCATCCATTACCAAATGTAGGATTCTATCTAATACATGGTGTTGATAACTGATAAACTGAGGTTTGTTGATGCGTTTCTCTGTGAACATTTGTTGCAATATTACAACAACACCATTCTTTTTTCCAGTGTTAATGCTGGTGGTATCTGCAAAAATCATCTATATTGAATTCCATAGGTGAAATTCATCAAGGACTTTAGAAATTCCTTGAGCAATAGTTAAAGCCCTGACATCTACCAAGCCAAAGACATCAATTTGATTTCTTTTCTTTCATTTTTAAGGACGACCACTTGATAATCCATTCTGTCGATGTGCTTGCCATCTAAGTGTAAGGACCAACTTTCCATATGCGACTTTTCAATCATTTCTTCCTTCAGCTTGATTGCCTCTTTGATTGTTGACTTGTAAATAGCTAATTGATAGAGAGTTTGGATGTCAATGCCTTCATGAGCCAATTGCTTGCATATGTTAGCAGCTTTGTTTGTTGAGTATAGAGTATCCCACTGTTCCTTTGCTTTCCAATTGGAGATGGTACAATTGCTTGTCCTTAGAAGATAACTATGTTCCATCCTCTTTAGTTATATCAAAAATTTCATCAAGGGGTTCATAGCTTCCCCGCTTGACACATTCATCATAACATTTCAGTATTTTATCAAGCTTTGCTCATATAACTTGATCAGATACATGAAGAAAGTTCAGTTTATTCTTTCACAACTTGGTGACTTCTTTGTAAATTTCCTCTATTCGCTCTTTTTTTCCTTTGATTTTTGGTCCATGGAAATGGTAGCGCCCCATGATTTGCTTTTGGAGAGGCATTCTGCACTTTTTTTTCAGTGAATATTCTTTCAAAGGGACCATTCTTCTTCTTTTATGAGAGTCTTCGAATTTTACCAGATTATTGGTCCAGGCATTCTTGTTCTTCTGAATGCTACTATTGCTAGGCTTGTATGACGCTATGTATTGCTTCTGTAATAACTATAAAATTAGATGAGCAGCTATACATAGTCTAAAATGTTTTAGAATATTCTAGAATGTTCTAAATTTTTCTTGAATATTCCAGTTTTAAATTGTTCTAAAATGCTCTTAAGTCTTCTAAAAGATTCTGTTATTTTCCAAAATGTTATTAAGTTCTAAACACTTCTAATCTATACAAGTTTTAAATGATTAAAAGCCACACATATTAGTAGTAGCAGTAACAAGATAAAATAAATGATGAAATGTAATTTGAATTGCGGGGTGACCTATTTTTACAACCGAGAGGAATTGAACATATTTTCAATGTTTTCTAATAAAAGTTCATCTATTTATGACACAGGAAATTAATATTTTTTTAAAAAGTCAAAAAGTCATAACCCTAATATATATATATATATATATATATATATATATATATATATATATATATATATATATATATATATATATATATATATATATTTATATATAAATATTTTTTATTTTGATTTACTTAGAACAGAAAGAATACTGATCAGGCGATAAGTGGAGAGGTCAGAATGTTCACCAGAGTTTTTGAAAATTGGAACAACAGATAAAAGAACAGGAATAAAAGCTTCCATTCTTGTCTGAATCAAGGAGGTTATATAGGATGCACCTTATTCACCTGAGAGGGAGAAGATATCAGCCCAAGGCTGCAAACAACCACTGTTATGTTGGAAGTTTGAGGTTGGAAGATCATTAAGGTTGTTGGAAGATCATTAATGCAGATAAGAAACAAAACATGACCAAGGGTAGAATCTTGAGGTACCCCAGAAGTTACTAGAAATAAAGAAGAGTGTTGGCTTTTGATGATAACTTTAATAAAGCGATTAGAAATTATTTGATGATCTCAAAGGCTTTCCCAGATACACCATATAAAACAAGCTTAAGGAGAAGACCACCATGCCAAACTTAGTGGAAAGTCTTAGATATGCCAAGAGCAATAGCTCTAACCTCTCCACCTCCATCTAATGCACAATGAAATCTTTCAGTCACAGCAGTTAGCAAGTCAGCCATAGAGCAAGAAGATCGAAAACCGTATTATTTATTTGACAATAAGTTATTTGATTCAAGATGGGATGTGAGAAATTAGTTAATCAAAGACTCAAAGACCTTGCTAATAACAGAAAGAAGACTGATTGGACAATAAGTTAAGAGAGGGTAGAATGTTCACCAGAGTTTTTTAAAAAAAACAACAGATAAAAGAACAGGAATAAAATCCAAGAATAGAATCTAGGAGGTTACTTAGGAGGTGCATTTTTCAGCTGAGAGGGAAAAGACATCAGCACAAAGACCGTCACAAAGAAAATCACCAAGAGTCCCAGTCAGCTTTTAGGGCAGTAGTAAGTAGTGCGATGATAGTGTGAGTCCAAAAATGAAGTACGAGATGAAAGATTTAAAAAGATCATTGCATGGGCAGAACCATCTAAGGGAGAAAAAGGAGAAACTGAGTACAAGTTAGGATCAGAGACCAGACATAAATTAAGGAGTGAAGGTAAATGATTAGGGTTGTCAGGAAAACGAGTCATAAAGTTAACTGAGTTAGAGATTGAGAAATGCAGAAGTTATAGGCTTTAGTGCCAGCAGGGTCAGTAGTGTAAGAGCCAAGCCACTCAGTGTGATGAGCATTAAAATCTCCAATAAAAATAATATTGGCTGAGGGGTAAAGAGAGAGGGCATGGTCAATTTGATAAGAAGTTACATCTAAAAAAGTGCAGTCTTGGGTAGAAGGAGACTGATAAAGAACAAAAAGAAAGGTAATAGAGTGAAAAGGTGCTAAGCAGAAGCACATAAAAGAATGGTCAAAGAATTTGAGCCTGATTTCATGACAAATAGGTGAATTGATGCCTATGTATACCCCCAACCCATGCATGTGACTATTGGAATTAAAGGATAGTACCCATTAACACTAAGATCAGTAAAAGGAATAACAGAATTTAATTAAGTATCATTAAGTGCAAGCAAGTCTGGTAAATTTTGCAAGAGTTAAGGTTCAACTGATGGGAGGTTGCTTCGCAGACATTCCATCAGTTGTAGTAAAAGATGTATTAAAACAGGTGGTGGGAATGGTTTTTTATGTTTAAAATTATGGGTTACTTTTGGCATTATTTAAATTTAAAGAGAATTTGACTCATTCATAAAGGAGATAACAGGAAGTGTGGCGTAGCCACTCTCAAGGAAGCACAATCAAAAACCTATAAGAAGAGTCAAGAAAATTCAGCATCATCCTAGGCAGGAAGCAAAGTATAACAAGTTTACATCTACACCAGCCTAATAGATAAAGAAGGGATTTGAGGCTGGTAAGCAGAATTATTCTGCTTACCCCTAAAGTGCATTATCTAGTCTAAATAAGTATATATTTTTTCTACTATATCATAACCTATAATAATCTGTTTTTTTATTATACTATAGTTTTTGATTTTTAACTCAATTTTGTCAACTTTTTTAAACTACATGTTGTTCACATAAACCCTTATTGATTAATAGTATTCCAGTAATAAAAAAATAACACTTAATGAAACTTTAAACCTTTTAATTTAGTTTCCAGAATATAATGAGTTTCAGAGTCAATGAAACTTGTTGCTAATGCCAGCAGCAATGTTTTACATGATCATAATTATTGTGTTGAGTTATTTTGTAATGTGCTTAACAGTTAAGCTCGTTCCAAATAGTGCATAGTGCATGAATGGCAAAGAGAATCTTCTAAATATAATTAATAAGACAAAAGTGGGAACATTGGATTGATTGGTTGTTTTTTTGTATCCTTTGTATCTTCCAATGCTTCACTAGGCATTACTCTAATAATATATAAGAAAATATGGTGATTGAAAAACTTTTTTTTTATAAAACATTAAAATTTTGTTTATATTTATGAATATTTCTGTTTAAAGTTTACAGTTTTGAAAAAGCATAAGGATTCAGATTTTTTTTAACTAATTAATGCTTAAATAAATGGAAAATGACGGCCTAAAAAATAAGTTTATTTATTTTATCTATAATAAAAGCTGTATTAAATGACACCCAAATAAATTCTATTAATTTACGATGAGATTTGTAAATTTTTATTGATATGGTTGAATAAAAAAAAAAATTAAAAAACAAATTATTATTTTTTGATTGAAAATTACTTTATTATTAATTAATTATTATCAAATGAATCTTTTAATTCAAGAAAAGAATGCTAAATTTTAAAAACTAATTTTAGACATCAGCAGCTTTGTGCACTACTGGAAAGAATTTTATCTGAAAGGCCTGATAATGCTGCTGGTATGTTGTTTCATAAACTTTTTTACATATAGTTGCTTATTACTGTTTGATGGGTTTTATTTTTACTATTATGCTATATCTTTTTTTAATTTAATTTAATTTTTAACTTTATTTTATGTTAATGAACAGCTAAACAAGTTATTTAACTTATAGCCTGCTACTGGTAGCAGTGATGATAGATCGAAACAGGGTTTGGGCTGGGGCAGCAATATTTTTTTTCATTATTTTTTTTTCCTGAAAAAGTCATATGCTATAAAGATTAGGAAAAAATGTAAGCAATTATTGATATACTCTATAGTAGATGATAATCATATAATCATTTTTGTGATCTTCATCTGCAAACAGGTTAATATCAGGAAAGGCTGGTTATAAAAGATTGCTTTAATTCTTCCATGATGGCTTATTTAAGTTAGAAAATGGCATTGTGGAAACTCATTCATGCAAAAGTAGAACCACGGACATTAAACTTTATAATAAAATATGTATATATAAATATATATATATATATATATATATATATATATATATATATATATATATATATATATATATATATATATATATATATATATATATATATATATATATATATATATATATATATATATATATATATATATATATATATATATATACATATATATGAGTAATACTTAATGTAATAATTGATAACAAGTAACAACTTAAAGTACTAATTAATAACAAAGCCTGAAAAACATTGCAATATTACAAATTTAACTTACCCATAACACATCACAGTATCACAAATTTAACATCAAAAATTATGTAAACTAGTTTTTTAATGTTATTTTATAATAAGTTTATGAAACAAAATCGTTTAATTCAATTTTTTTTTAAAAAAGATTTTTTTTTTAATTGACAACTTTGATATAAAAAACTTATTAAAAACCAAAATTTATTTTTAGCAAATAAATTTATTTAGATAACTCCTAAATATACTATGCTAAATTTTATCATTACTTTCAGAGTTCACTTATATTTTAATAACATGATTTTAAAATTTTTATATGCAGGCAATCTATTTCAGCGCAGCACAATTGATGTTATTTTTTTTGTTAGTTCACATGCATTTTTCATAATCAGCGTTTCAAGACATTTCTGCTAGTTATTGTTTTTATTGTTTAGTTATGCATTGTTGTCATAGTGACTCATTGTTCTAATCCATAAATGACAAAAGTTATAGTTTTTTTCAATTCACTGATTTTGAAGAAGAAGAGTACCTTAAAAATATATTTTTTTTCCAAACATTGTTTACTTGGTGGCTCTCAATAATATTAGTACCAAATTTGATTGTTTTATTCAGTACTTTACTTATTTTAGATTTCAACAGTATGCATAATTTCAAAACCCTTGTTTTGCAAACAAGTTATTTAATGCGCAACAGCCACACACGGTTTTACTGAACTTTCTAATTATCTAACATGAATTTTTTTTTTTTAGTTTTTCAGCTACCACAAGCAATAAACTTATTTTTTGTAAGTTATCAGCACAATGATATTTTTGTTTCATAGATAAATGAGTTTTTATTGCATAGGTGAATGAGCTCATTTTGGAAAAATCTTCCGTAATATTTGCATGGTACAGTAAGTGATGTAACATAAGTTAAATGATATCAAGTTTATTTTCCTTAGTCATTCATCTCTAATGAAATTTTTGTTTATTTTTGTATTACAGATTAAATTAATAACATTTTTTAAAAATTTTCAACAAAATTCACAATTCTGTTTTGCAATTGTCATAAAAGTTGAAACATTTTTTACTTGCTTTTCTGTGTCATTAAATGTTATTTTTGGTATCAAGTTTGTTCATTAAATGTTATTTTTGGTCATAAGTTTGGTCATTAAGTGTTATTTTTGGTCATAAGTTTGGTCATAAAATGTTATTTTTGGTCATAAGTTATTTTATTGTCAGAATTAAAATTTTTTAACTTATACTATTCTTCATACAGTTTTCAAACAATATTATTGAAAGATTAAGGTTTCAATAATAAGTTTTGAGTTAATAATGAGTTGAATAAGTTTCAAGAATTTTGGATTAAATATTTGCCTTCTTCTTATTTATTTTTATTCACTAGCCTTTTACTTGTAGAATAACAAAATAAAATAAAAATGTGCATTTTTGTTTGCTTTTTGTTTCTAAAGAGTTTTGTTTCTAAAGAGTAACATTCCAAACTTCAAAGAACAAAAAAAAGAATCAACCAAACTGAATCACCAAAGAAAAAAAAATTGACTAAGTTTGAATATAAGCTCTGGTTCAAAATTTTCCTCTCAGCCAATATATCTTATTGGATTCTTGAGTTTAAGTCAAAAGAAGTCAAAAAATAAATCAAAATAGCTTTCATTACTATCTCCTCCTAGGTACAAGTCTAATCTAAAACTTTTGTTCTCATACTTAAATGCTCAAAATTAATAAAAATCAAAAAATTAAATATCAAATCAATAAAAATAAAATCTAGGGAGTTGACTTTTGACAAATTAAAAAATATTTTAACATTTTTCTTCGTTTTTAACAAAAGTTCTATGATAAACCACTTCCAATTTTCAACTCCAGTAAGCCTATCATTTGTTTATTTAATTAATTATCACTCTATCAATGTTGATAATAAGTCTGCAGCCATGAAATCTCAACTTATGCGAGGCTATGGGTGGTGACAGTGCACACCTTCATTCACCACAAAGTAATTTTTCTAATTTTTGTTCAAATATTCTACTTATCCATTGGAAATCAGTTACTCAATTTTTCATAAATGGAGACCAATCTCACTTACATTTGCAAAATTATGAAACAAGTCTTTAAAGCAGCAACAATGAAACATGTCGTTGATAATGACCTTCTCAGTGTATGTATGCATATATGTATGTATGTATGTATGTATGTATGTATGTATGTATGTATGTATGTATGTATGTATGTATGTATGTATGTATGTATGTATGAGGTAGAAAATGCCCATGGTTGAACGCAAACATTAAAAAACTTTTAGGATAGAGAGATATTTTTCTTAGGATAGCCGGTGAACCTAAAATGGAGTACAAACAGTTACGCAACCACTGTAACAATGTAATTAAACATGCAAAATCTAAATACTACAAATATATAATAGATGAAAATAACCATAAACCTGATAAATTCTGGAAATACATAAAGGAATTTTATCCAGCAAAAAGCAATATCAGTATGACACCTTTTCCAAATAAAAATAAAATTTTATGTAACTTTTTTAAATATTACTCGATGGTCATTAAAGAAACTAAACAAAAAGTTTGAGTAATGAATGGTTTGCCAGCCATCTTTTTGAAGAAAGTCAAAAGGTTTTTGTTGATAATAAATGTTCTAAAGAATTTTATTTAACATGTGAAGTACCACAGGGATCCATCCTGGGACCACTATTGTTTATTTTATTTATAAATGATTTTCCTGAATGTCTTATGTCAGCGAAAATGATATTATATGCAGACGACACCTTTATATACTATAGTCATAAACATCTCAAGACTATTTAAGAATGTCTAATATCGGAATTAAACAGTATAACAAGTTACTTCAATAATAATGAGCTAATAATTAATCTGAATGCAGGAAAAATGGAAGCAATACTATTTGTATCTGCAAAAAAATCTAACAACAATGTACTTTGTTTAAGTTACAAACAAAATGAAATAATTAACTTTGTAAGATCATATAAATACCTATGATGTAAATTGGATTCAACATTTTCTTTAAAAAATCATTTTAAAGATATAGAAAATTCCTGAGTAAATGAAAGATTTTCCTTCCTGCAAAGGCTCTCAAGATTTATTAACAAATTGTTTTAATATTAACATTTCCAACATCTCAATAATGCAGCGACACACAAAAGCAAACTAAGTTCATTTGACAGAAGAGCTAAAGATATAATTGGTAGCCGTCACAATCTAAAGTAAATTGAGAAAATCATTAAAAGAGACTCATGCTTATTTGTAATAAAGTGTTTAAATAATGAACTTTATGAAAATTTTACAACTTTGAAACCATTAAATATAAGAAATGTACCAGACAAAGAATCTTGTTGGAACTTCTCAAAAAAAAACTTAAAATGACAAAAAACTCTTTTCACTTTGCAGGAGCAAAAAATTTTAACGAGTTACATTTGGACATTAGAAATACGGCAGAACTAACATTATTTAAAATAAAAGTAAACAACCACTTTTTTTTTAAAGCAGCATTGATGTACTTAACTAATTTTAATACTTTTGATATTTTTTATTATTTTCGGATAATTATAATTTCTATTTTAAGTTTTATTTTTTAAACAAGACACATGTTGATAACAGTTTTCATAACTAAAAGTGTATATCCTGTATAAATATCATTTTAATAAAATAAATATGTATGTATGTGTGTATGTATGTGTGTATGTATGTATATATGTATATATGTGTATTTATGTATGTATGTATGTATGTATGTATGTATGTATGTATGTATGTATGTATGTATGTATGTGTGTATGTATATGTGTATGTATGTGTGTATGTATGTATATATGTATATATGTATGTATGTATGTATGTATGTATGTATGTATGTATGTATGTATGTATGTATGTATGTATGTGTGTATGTATGTATATATGTGTATGTATCTATGTATGTATGTATGTACATATATATGTATGTATGTATGTATGTATGTATGTATGTATGTATGTATGTATGTATGTGTGTGTATGTATGTATATATGTGTATGTATGTATGTATGTATGTATGTATGTATGTATGTATGTATGTATGTATGTATGTACGTATGTATGTATGTATGTATGTATGTATGTATGTATGTATGTATGTATGTATGTATGTATGTATGTATGTATGTATGTATGTATTTATGTATGTATGTATGTATGTATGTATGTATGTATGTATGTATGTATGTATGTATGTATGTATGTATGCATGTATGTGTGAATATAAAAACATAATATGTTAAATCATTTACAGATCTGGTTGAAAGTTACATGAGAGATGAGAGATTATCTGTTGGTAAAACAAATGTATATTGTTTTTTTGTTTTTTAAGAAGTTTTTACTATTTTTATTTTATAGTTTTTGACTTTTTGATAATAAATTTTGATAAATATGTTACTTTATTAGTATTATTCTTACTGTAATATATATATATATATATATATATATATATATATATATATATATATATATATATATATATATATATATATATATATATATATATATATATATATATATATATATATATATATAGTATATATATATATATATATATATATATATATATATATATATATATATATATATATATATGTATATATATATATATATATATATATATATATATATATATATATATATATATATATATGTATATATATATATATATATATATATATATATTCAGTGGCGGAGGCAGGTTTTTAAATGTTTGAAATAACCAACTTATAAACAACAAGAATATTTCAAACTTTTTACGTTCATATGTATGACGAAAAAAATATTTTAAAAAAAATTACTGTGATAGGAGAATGGGAACAAGAAACCCTAAAATCTTAGCCCCTCCTCCTGCCCCAAATGTGAGAGCAACATGTTGATGGTATATTTTTCATACAATGCAACCCCTATAAATTGAGGGGGGTTTAAACTTTATATGGTCATAATTTTTGATCACTAAAATATTTTACTATGAAATTTCAAATTTCTCAATGAATATTTCAAACATTTAAAAACCTTCCTACGCCAATGTTTATATTTATATATATATATAATAATTATTGCTGTTGAGGTTCAACACCATATCTAAATCAATGATAGCCTTCAAGGATAATAATTTAACAATTACTAATTTAGGCAATAAATAAATAATAGTTATATGCTAAAGTTTAGTTATAAGACTTTGACATTTAACCTGTTAAATGCATAAACTATATGATTCTTTCTTGTATTGGCAACTGGTCCAGACAACAAAAATGATGCAAAACTTTGATGAGTTTTACTATGAGATGTCTTCGAAATGGTGAAAAAATTTATAGATTTTAATTAAATCACCACGTTTTTCCTTTAGACAATTTTGTTAGATTCAGTTTGATTAACCTTTCTTTGCATAATAAGCGTCCAATTTCAGGTATCAACTTAGTTGCAGGTCTCTGCACATTTTCGAGTATATCAACATCACTTTTATGGTAAGCATTCCATACTTGAACAGTAAATTTGATATGTGGTCTTAAGCATCCACTCTATAGCTTTTTGAAAGAGTCACAAGTTTTATAATTTAAAGCTTTGGTAATAATACTTAATTTACTATTTGCTCTTAAAGCTGCTGCTCTGATATGCATAGTTCATTTTAAATTGTCTGGTATCAAAATTCCTAAATCCTTTCAATATTTGTTGTTAGTAATTATTAGTCATGTAATAATCAAGGTTTTGATTGTGTTTACTGAAATACATTTATTTACATTTACCAATATTTGAAATCCATGTTCAATTTATATGTCCATTTTACTAACTTATCAGTATCATTTTGCATAACCTCAAGATCTATCACAGAATTAACCAGTGTCATAAGTTTTTACCTCTGCACACAATTTTATAGTGTTAGTTAATTATTCAGATAAATTGCTTATATAAATCATAAACAATAATAGACCTGATTCCATTCCTTGGACAACTCCACTTACAACATTTTGTCAAGTTGAAATGATATTGCCAAGAATTACTTTTTGTTGTCTTTTAGACTAAGATGACTTAATTTAAAAATTGGATTTAATGCCATTGGATGATAATTTTAATAACAAGTATTTATGTGGAACAAAATCAATTGCTTTTGGGAAATCAGTATATAATACGTCAAGTAACTCTAACAAACCTTTTCTAAAACTATGTTGATGAATAGTCAAAAGATTATTGGAATTTAAACAATTAAATAATTTGATTAATTAATTGTTTAAATTCCAGATATGATTTATTCTAAAATCTTGCAGGGGTTAAAGTTAAAGATATTAGATGATAGTTAGAAGGTTTAAGTTTATTTGCTTCTTCCCATTCTTCCTGGATCATACCACTTGAAATCGCCTTCTTATAAATATGATGCAATTGTAAACTCATACTGTTTGCAGAGTGCTTCAACACACATGAATAAACACAGTCAGGACCCATAGATTTTAGATGTCTGTTTTTAGTGCATAGTTTCTTACCAGTTTTTCAGAAACATATTTGTCTTAATATAGTTTGGCATCTAATTTTGAATTCTAGTAGTGTCTCTCAATTTTCAGATGTATAAATAGAGTTAAAACAGTCATTCAAGGTGCATGCTAGTTGTAATTTATAAATTACAGTGGTGCCATCTTTGTTTATATACTGTTTAACTTTTTCATATTGTTATATTCACTTTTCAAGTCAACTTCATTATTATGTATTTTAAGCTTCTTGTTTTGTAAATAAATATTGTTTTGCTTTTTATAGTTTGCTTCAACTCACAGTTTAAGCAATGATATTTTTGATTATTTCATATATGAGCTTTTGGTATATAAGACTTACAAGCTAAATGGTAGTGACCCAAAAAGATTTTATAACAATCGTTAATAGGTTTTTTCTGTAAAAGATTTGTTTTGATCAATATTTAGAATGTATTGATTAATTTTTAAATGGTTCTAAAGTATATATATATATATATATATATATATATATATATATATATATATATATATATATATATATATATATATATATATATATATATATATATATATATATATATACATATGTATGTAAATATGTGTTTTTTTAGGTTAGGTGTTATTTGTATGCATGTACAAATAATTTTTTTTCTTATTTGTATCGTATATTTATTATTAATTGTTTTTAAAATTTCACCTAAAAATCTAGTGTCATTTAATTTAACAATTTTTTTTTATATAAATTAAATTCATTTATAAACTCTATTTAAATAAGTATTGGAATACTTTTATATAAAAAAAATGCCAAAACCTAAACCCTCAGTCAATGTATTTACACTCCACTATGACTATGGTTATAAAATTGGATTTATGTACGCATTGATGCACTTATTCTACAAAACTTTGAAAGAAAAAATGATGAACAGCAATGATAGTTAAAAACATAAAACTGCTTTAAAATATAATTAAAAAAAAATTAAAATTGAAAAAAATAAGTTCTCTATGGATGATTCGAACCTGCAACTTTTGTTTGAACCTGCAAAGTTGCAGGTTCGAATACTTATAATGATAAATTTCTTAATAAAAAGAATATATAAAGAATAAGAATTTTATCATTATAACTATTTTAATTATTTAAAAAATTAAAGTATTAAACATTGAGAGAGTTACACAAAATGCCTTTATATTTTTGGATTTTTTCCAGATATTTTTTTAAATATATTTAGGAAAAACTTCACCTGATTTTTAAAATATGACCTGGATAATTCCTGATATTAGTAAAAACACTTATCTATTTTTTTTTTGCTTCTGCCGGCTGTTCAGCTATAACTTACTTTAATAGTATTTTGTGTAATTTATAAGAAAAAAAAATGCTTGTCTATTGATTTAAAAAAATGCTTTTCCAATATTTGTTGAAATCATTTTTTTTTTTGTTTCGAGTCGGACCAAATTAAATTTCCAATTCAATTTTTTTTCATTTTTTGTTTCCAAATTTTAGTTTAAATTTTTTAAATCTGCTTTAAACTCATCAAAACTTCTGTATGAAGTTTAGTTAAGTTAAAAATATTTTCATCAGAAGAGTTTTGTTTTAATCTATCTTTAATTGAAATAGGAATTTGTTTTAAGATTTAAATTTATATTAATATACAATAATTCATCATTAGGTTTTATAATGTCTATGAGAATTTTATAATGTCAATGAGAATTTTTTGAGAGATTAAATATAGCATCAAGAAAATTCATTATTTTCAAATTAGTTTTTTTTTCAATTAAGTAGCTGTTTTTTTAAAATGTTTTTGAAAATTTTTATATTGTTTTGCTCCTGATTTTGTCAGGTTGACGCCCTGATTTTTATTGCAGTAATATTAAACCATCATCATGATGCAATTGATTAGATTGAATTATTTTATCAAATTGTATAAATGTGCATTCATTTTTGTATCTTATTTTAGAAAATCAATTTATAATCAGTGGTATTTTTCCACTGCTAGAAGTTTAATATTTTTTGAATAATATTATTATTTTGTCTTACTTAATTTTACTAACGGCTCTAGCTCACTTTTTGAAAAATCTAGTAGCAAGGGAGTTTTTTTTATAAATTTGGTTTATAATTTTTCTACAATATTTAGTTAGTCATAAATATATATTATATATATATATATATATATATATATATATATATATATATATATATATATATATATATATATATATATATATATATATATATATATATATATATATATATGTATATATATATATATATATTAGTTAGTCATATATATATATATATATATATATATATATATATATATATATATTAGTTAGTCATATATATATATATATATATATATATATATATATATATATATATATATATATATATATATATATATATATATATATATATATATATATATATATGTATATATATATATATATATTAGTTAGTCATATATATATATATATATATATATATATATATATATATATATATATTAGTTAGTCATATATATATATATATATATATATATATATATATATATATATATATATATATATATATATATATATATATATATATATATATATATATGTATATATATATATATATATTCACACCCAGTATTGTGCAAATTAATTGCATCAAAATTTTTTTTTTATCAGAACATTGCAGCAGGACTTAGCCACATACCATACATCCTTATGCATTTAGTGCTGCTCTTGCAATGCCGATTCATTCTGTTTTTTCTGCTGATAGCAGTTTCTGCAATTTCGCGCATCCTTACTCTGTTGTTGTTTATGGATGAGAAGTTAGAAAAATATTGGATCCTGAAATTGCAGTACTGTGGACTTGTGCCAGTGAAGAAACAAAAGTATACAACCATATTTTCTATCTTGCCAAACATCTACCTGCAAGTGAGATTGACTTCAACATTTTGGATGAAAGTTTTTCAGACAGAATCAGGTTGATTAATAACACAATAATTATTGCAAGCAAAATATAGGTCAACCAAATTATAAAATCAGTATATTTTATTAAACAAACTATATAAATATAGATATAATAAGATATAGGTGTATAATGATAAATTTACAATATATATTTTTCTTCAGAAGCAGTACACCACTGGCCAATGAAAATGATCTCACATTAACCTTTAATGACACAGGTTTATCAGGCAATGAAATAGAGGAATATTCACAAAAAATAAGCAGGTGCCAGTGACCAAAATTTAGTGCCACAGCTAATGCCAGCAACAGTCTTCAGAATCTAACATTTTTAGAAGCTGCAAAGGTTAATAATATATTGGTCAATCGTTCAAAACATGTCAGAAACCATTCCAAAAGGTCTAAAAATGTCTATTTTCTTGTTAAAAATGAAGTATTCACAGATGTACAAATGGTTCAGGAGCAAGTAGAGTCTCTCCAGTTTCTTTTTACATTTGTCTAACTTTAGGTCACTTTAAAAATGTCATAAAAAGGACTGGAAAGTATTGTAAAGTTGTTAAAAGTAACAAAAAGTTTATTTACATTGATTTAGAGCCACAGCCATTGCCATCTAAGGTCATACAGCTTCATCGACACTATGCATGTTTACAAGCAAGCAATAATTTTCAACTATGCATCAGTTGGATAGAAGAAGAAACATTGCCAAGTTCATCTCTCTAGGTTGTCTGGTTTTCGTTTGTTTAATAGCATCCATTATTGATCTGGGTGTTTGTACATTGTTGCTGTTTCGATGTGGACATGATCCAGTATGTTTTTCAACAAATTCAACAACGCAGACATGTCTGCATGTTCAACTACATATTCAATGTCTGCATTTTGGATATGTTGGAAAATATTCTGGATCATGTCCACATGGAAACAACAACAATGCACAATCAACTTAAGCACAAACATCCAGATCAGCAATGGATGCTATTAATCAAACAAAACCAGAAACCTAGAGAGATCTACTAGGATCTACTACTAAACCATGAAAAATGATTACCCCTATGTACAAAGTTTAGAACAGAAAATAATAAAATTCCAAATGTAATCCTTTACTTGGAAAAAAACTATACAGCAAATAAAAGCTATGTGTTCAAGTGGTTGTCCATCAATCATTGGAATCGATTAATTCTTTAATCTTGTAGAAGTGTATGTCACTGTAACAGTATTTGAAATGCCGGTTGTAGTCCACAAAGATGGCCAATTGAATCTGATCTTCATTGGGCCATTTTTCCTGCATTGCGATGCATTTGATGGTACAAGTGCCCATTTCTTCACACATTTACAGAATAAATTCAAAGAATCGTCATGCAAAACTGAAAGTTTTATTTTGATACTGATCAAAAAAAGGCTATGATTTCACCCAAAAAATTTCCTTTTCCAGAATTCAATCAGGTCTTGTGTATCTGACACATAAAACAAAATGTGGAGTCATATCTGGCAGAAAAAGAAGGACAGGGAAAAAAAATGTCAAGTGGTTATTAATGGTTTGTTTAGAAGTCAAGGTGCAGTGTTGTCAGATGATTCAATAGCATTTAAAGAACAAATAAAGTTTGTCCAAAACATCTGCAAAAACAAAAAAAGAGTCAAATTTCTAAAGTATTTGGATCAATGTTTTGGCCTGATACTTAAGGAAAATGTGATGAGACCTCATCTTTACAGAAATGTCCAAGATAACTGGACAAAGAATAATGCAGAGAAATGTCCAAGATAACGGGACAAAGAATAATGCCAACCATATACTGAATTGTGCAGTTAACTGGAAACCACTAATGAACTAATCACACAAATTTGGAATCTAGTACAAGTTCAACAAAAGTAAGTTTCATGTTAATACTAGTAACTACCTCATAACCTAATTGGTAAACTAATTTTTTTGTTTTCCAGGATCTGTAAAGAACTATTACTGGCACAAGATCATTCAAACTGGCACCAGAATATCAACAGCATGTTATTCTCCACAATAATGGTCACACATGTCAACTGAAGACAAACAGAAAGCAGTGAAAAAGTTATTCTGTGCAAGGATACCAAACTCAATGACAACATCAACTGACAGAAAACTCAAAGTGCCTATGCCCATGGGCAGTATGAAATCAGGTTAAAAAAAGGCTAACAGCTGAACAATCAATGACCATGCTGAAATAGCAAAAAACGTTTTGGCAAATAAACAGAAATTAACTGGATTGTCTTCTTTAAATATAACTTTATAACAACTTTAAATAATAAAAAATTTGCTGATAAATGGCTCAACCAAGAGGGCCTGATTTCCAATAAATATTTAGGAAAACATTTTTAGACAACTGATTTTTTTATATGTGGCATGCCCTTCATTTGGGTTTCTTATAAATATTTGGATGTAAGTCAATGAGCAACTGTGGCAGATATCTTCATTATTTCATTTCTCATCGATATAAGTCAACAATAAGAGTGATAGTTTCAATCAATTATTTCAATAGATTAAGTTTATTAAATTTAATTTGTATGTTATTTTGGTTTATTTTGGGTTAATTATTTGTCAATCGCATTGCGCATTGTCTTATCGGTCCATTAATTGAATAGATTAAGTTTATTACAGTTAATTTGTATGTTATTTTGAGTTATTTTGTCTTTAAGATGTACCGCTAAGATAATAGTGATTGAGTTACACATAAATTTTATCTATATAGAGCCCGTAAGATAATGTCCTAATAATGGATTACTGCTCGATCAGCTATGCAAATATTTGTTGCATGTGATTGTTTAGTGTGTTGTGCATATTTTAGACACAAAAATGAATTTTAATAGATGGCACAAGAGATGCTAGCTCTTTAGAGCTAGTGTCTCTTGATGATGAACCAAAATGTTCGAAAAAAAAAAACTAATTTTAAAGAGCTGGATTTTTTTGGAAAAAAAAACAACATACATGACTGCTTTGATTTATCGATGGGCAGTTATGATGTAGCAGAAATTTGTGAATTTGTTGCACTATATGTTTTAGATTTATTAAGTAAGATAATTAATAGTAATGATTTAGGCTTTTATTTTGATGATGGTTTAATAGTAATACACATGCTAACCAAGAATATTTTTCAAACAAAAAATCAGAATTGATTTCTAAATGCATGCAAATGAAAATAACTTTCTCCTAAAAAATGTTAAAAAATAAGTGAGCTCAAAATATAATTATATTAAATCCCCTCTTTAGAAATATGTTTAAAAAAAACAAACCATAATAAACAATTTTAACGAATTCTCTTTATTTAATAGGGATTTAATAGTGTCCGCATATTCCACAAATGTGTAAAAATTTACAGTAAGATTTATGATTTCCTGTAACTTAATTTTTGTTATAAATTCAAGTTTTATTAGTTTGAACATTCATTTCTGCTGAGTCTTTATATATGAAACACAGTGTAAAGTGAAATAAGTGATTTTCTATTAACTTGAATTTTTTTATTCATAAATCAAAATTTAACAAGCAAAACCATTATGTAAAAATAAAGCTGTAAGCTCTGATAAAGTGGTGCAGCACCACCTTAACCCTGCTATCTCATTATCAATTTTTGAAATTAGTTTTTTTCATTTGGCTTTGTTTAGCGAACAAGGATTATTTGCCCAGAATTTAAGTTCCCTACGTGGATTAATAAATATTTTCAAAATTTGGTTTGATTTATTGGCGGCCAGCAATTGTTTTAGTCAACGTGATGGTAGTGGTATTGACAATGGTTTTGGTGAGGACTTAAGGATAGTTTTTATTGATTTTTGTTGCTGCTGTTTTTATTTGATCTGATTGTTATTTGTTAATTCGAACACACTTCTTGTTATTAGCAGATTGGGATGTGTCAATACAGCGCACAAATTCAGTCTGTCTGTGGATGACCCATTGAAAGGGTTCATTCAGATTAGCTTTCATAAGATCTTCATTCTTTTGCTTCTTATCGTTATTAAAAGTTTCTTATAGTTTATTAAAAGCTTCTTACTCTGCAGCTTTTGCCAGAATTTCTCATTTTACATTTATTGATTTGAACATAATTTGTATTACACCAATTGGGTTTTGGTTGTCCTGGTTCATGTTCTAGTGATAGCTATGCCGATTGGTTTTTTTTTTTTGTAACGATGAGCATGAACAATTTTCTTGTGGTTGACTTCAATTGCTTTAAAAAATTCTTTTACAAGATCTTCATCACTTCTTTTTTCGGACTCTTTAAGATCTTTTTGTAAATTTTCTCAAACATATTTATTAATGGATAGTCATGTTTTTGTCTGCTCTAAGGCCTCATTAATTATAACTTCAATAGATTTTTTATTGATTACACTCATATTTTAGATTCTTATAGATTTTGTAGTTCATTTATATACACCAATTCAAATTTTTTTTAAGCTACCACTCTACAGTAGTGGATTACCTTTAGGTCATGAAATATTTCAATTTATTTATATCTTATTACATAGGGACTTATTACACAGGGACTAAAAAGTATAAGTATGTTTTTTTCCAATTTATTATTGCTCTGTTTTAAAAATTATATATGTATATATATATATATATATATATATATATATATATATATATATATATATATATATATATATATATATATATATATATTTCTACAACAATTATGAAATATCTTTTTCTTTTTTTTTTGTAGATTTTTATTGATTTATTTAAGCAAATTTTTTTTAAGGGGTTTAACTGATTTATCTAAGCAATATTTTGTTGAAGATCTTTACTGATTTATCTAAACAATATTTTGTTGTAGATTTTTACTGATTTATCTAAGCAATATTTTGTTGTAGATTTTTACTGATTTATCTTAGCAATATTGTGTTGCATATTTTAACTGATTTATCTGGACAAATTTGTTTGTAGATGTTAACTGATTTATCTAAGCAAATTGAGTATGCTGCTTTAAAACTAAAGCTGTTTGAAGTAATTATATTATTTTATATTTGTTTAAGAAACAAAAAATCAAATTGTATTGTAAAAAATATAAATGAGTTATATGTAAAATAAGTTTATATGTTAATTTGTTTATGCTTTAGAAAAAAGAAGATGAAAGTGTTGAAAATGAGGAAGAATTTTTCGAAGTTTCTTTACCAAATTGTTCGCAATTGGCATTTTACTTTGAGCAAGGTTCAATTGGCATTGGGAAAGAAGAAATATATCATATATTTTTATCTTTAAAGGAGCTTATTTCTAATGTTCCCCTTGCAAGCGTTCGATTTTGGGGTATGGTCTATTTTTTTGTAGATACATGATCCTGGTTTCTACTTTGTTTACTTTAATATTGGTTTTCTCAATACTTTCACTTTAATATTTACTTTAATATTGGTTTTATCAATAGTTAGTTGTCATTTATTATCATTGTCATGGATTACTATTTCCATTGTCACGTTCATTTACTTAAGTAATGCCATAAATCTCTTTTGCCACCACCATCATCATTATCATCATTATCGTTACCATTATCATTATTATCATCACAAACCAACACCACAAAAAAGGAAGGTGGGAATTTTTTACAGAACAGGAATTTTAATTATAGTGTGGCTTGCGGTCAAATGCGCATTTTTTAACAGCTGTTTCATCATAATTTTAATTGGATTTAATATGCTTATATAAGTTTTGGTAAAGTCTATAGTGAAAAATAAATAAAAACTTAATTTTTTGACAAGTTGAAGTTTACGTGATTTTCTTTTAAATTTATGAGATTTAGTTTTAATAAGCTTGGGGTGGGAGAAATTTTCTGAAAATTTATAAATATCTCCTCCTTTGTATTAAAAACCTAAGAGTAAGTATTTTTCATGTTTTGAAAATTAATAAAAACAATGTTAATAATGTACTTTAATGATGATAGCCAATATGTTTGCTTATAGTATATATTCTATTTAGATCTGCTTATAGTATATATATACTATTTAGATCATAAGGTTACACTATTATCAAAAAGGCTTTAATTCAATTAAAGCATTTTTGATAATAGTGTAACCTTATCTTTTATTAAACTATTTTTGCATAAATAATACATCTATTATATTGTTTAGTTAAACTTTATTTCAAAACTTTCCAGTCTTTTTGTTTCTGTTTTTTATTTGATTCTATTCATATAGGTAAAATATTTGGTACCCAAGCTAATTACTATATTGCTGAAGGTGAATTCAAAGAAGGTGAAGGGGAAGATGAGAAAGAAGTTGATGTTAGAAAAATTTCTTTTCTTTTTTTCTTTTCTTTTTTTAGTTTTTATTAGTATATAGCAAGAGTGGAACCTGTGGGTTTTACTTGGTCACCTATAGGGCCACTGAAATATCGTATGTTTCTTACTTGAGATGTCTACTATGATAATCAGTAGTTATTTGAGTTGTCTGCTATGATAATCAGTAGACCAGATGTTTAAGTTTTTGTAGTAAAATATTTTTTAAAGTTGGCTAAAATCAACTAATACATTTTTAAAGTTGACTAAATTGACTAAAAGTCAATTTAATTGAAATATGGGAATTAAAGGAGACATTCAAAACAATTATATTATTTATTTATTAGCAATACTTATAGACCAATAGACAGTCCTACCATTAGACTATAAAACTAAATATTTTTACAAAGTTTTTAGTTTTTAATTTGAATAAAACACATCATTAGTTTCCAAAAACCTGTTTTTAGATAGTGACCATCATCCAAATTCATTCCAATTGGGTTGCGTGGGCTAGTTTGTTGGTATTCTTTAAAGTTTCTCTAATTTTTTTTTCAAATTTACTAGAACCGCTAAAACTTTGGCAACAGTCCAGTAAATATTTTCCTGAAAAAAATTTTATGGTTCCACCAGAATTCCGTTTCCTGTCATGAATTGATTTTTGGTGTTGTAAAAATTGTGTGGACATTTTCATACCAGTTTCACCTACACATGATTTACTGTAGCTACAAGTTAGTTTGGAAACACCTGATTCGCTAAAGCGTTGCAACACAGATTTTTTTTTTAATTGTTAATATTGTTTTTAAACATTGTTTAAAGGCAACTCTGTAACCGATATATTTTTCTTGGTTTGGGGCTTATTCTAGGTATCTAAAGTAGCTAAACCATCTTTAAATCATTACAGGAGGTTTGTGTCAGATAAAGGTTTGAATGTTTTTGTTTTATATTTTTGAACTATTTGTTTAAATTTATATTTTTTGTAACCATTTTCAGAAAACACTTGTATTAGGAAATCAATTTCTTGTTATAAATATGTTTGCTGCAAATCAGGCTCTCAAATAAAACCAGTAAAAAAATACTTTCAAGAAATTTTGGATGCTTCCGGATTTCGGTTTAATTTGGATATTGGTATTTGCATCTTTTTGGTGAATCTTGAACTTGTTAGCCATTTTTGTTTTAGTAATATCTAACAAAAAATTTATCTTTAAGTTCCATTGTATATTTAAGGCTAACTTTTTTATTTCTATTTTAAGTTTAGTTTTCTTAGAACTGTAAAAATTTCATATTTTAACAAGTAAAAATAATTTTTTTTTTCTAACATCGTATCATTTAAATATAAATAAAACAAAACAATATAAGAGTAGGGCTATTCTGACAATGAGAGCCCTTTGAAAAAACAACTTGTCCCATGCTACTGGATGAAGTTCCATCCCTATGTGGGTTTTAACGGTTGGCTCATTTGTTTTTGACAAATAGTTTGTCTGTAGTTGATTTAAAAAAATGTTTTATTTTATATCTACCTTAAAAATAGTATAAAAAAATACATTTTTACAGACTGTCAAATATAAATTTGTTTAAGTTAAGTATATAAACATAATTTTGTTATATTTTATGCAATTAATCTGTGTTGCTTGAACAAGGCTGAGCAATACAATCCCACAGAGAAATATGAAAAAGCTATTGAAAATATATATATATATATAAAGGAGTATAAGTTATAAAAACAAAGAAAAATGAATATATGTTTAAAATAAAAACAGATACAGATAACAGATAAATAATAAGAAAAAAAAGCTTATAAAAAAATCATACTCAACAATACTTTTATTGTTAATGTATATATAAAACAAACAAAGCACATATGCACCATACTTATTGCTTAGTTTTTTTTTTTTTTTTTAATTTATTTTTTTAACCTTTTTGCTTCCAACAAGGCTGCAACCAACCACTATTAAAATTGGAAGTTACTGAAATAGAGAAGATAAAGTTTATAGAGCAAAATGACAATTGACAGATTACTTAAAAGATTGCAAATTATAATAATCAGTAAAGCAAGAAGAAGGAAGCAAATTCCAAAGAACTGATGTTCGAGGTAAAAAACTAGACAAAGAGTTTTTGGAGCACTTAGGAACAGTCACTGAAAAAGTTATAATGAAAAAAACATGCACAACAGATATTTTCAACACTAGCACTAATGCTCTAGTTACTGATAAAGCTGTCAATGATCAAATATTATGCAAAGGTGTAGATCCTTGTACTATTTTACCTGTGTAAATTTTTTTTAAAGAACACATGATCAGCTAGGCTGTGTGTATAAAAATTTTTTTTTAAGAAATCTAACTGGTAAGTTTAAAATCAAGTTGGTAAGAAATCAGTTTAACAGTGAACCCTCTGATAATTGATTTTTTTTTTGTCTTAGCGAGTGTAAGACAAAGAAAAAAAATTAGCAGATGCAGAGTGCAACATCAGCTCATTGAAAAATGTAAAAGGAAATAAAAGAGTTATTGTCTGTAACAGATTATTCAGTATGCAACTTAAAATATATTTTAATGGCCCAACTTTAGAAAACTTTGATCCTCAACAATTTAATAAACTTCTCTAGCCAAAATTTGGGAATAAATTGGGTGTAACACAACAAAAAAGGCCAGGTTACATGGATAAAAAGCCACAGATTTTTAAGTGGAAGATTACTTCTGTTAAAATTTTTCATAATTTTTTTTTTTGGTGTATTTTGTAACTTAATAAAATTAAACAATTTTCAATATTTGTTTATACTATTTTATTAATCCTCAATTTCATTTTTTTTATTGGATAATTTATTTTTAATTAAATAGTTTCTTGTTATTCATATTTTAGAAATCCGATGTTTTAATCCTTTCCGTTGTTTCTCTACAGTTGAGAAATAAATTTAGCATACCAGATTACTGATAATCATAGCAGACAACTCGAGTAAGACTTCAACGGTATGTCAGTTGCCAGAAGGGCAACTAGGAAAAAATCTGAGGTTACAACAATTTGGTATCTAGTTGATTGCAATCCTTTGCAGCATTTTTAATATTTATTGATGAACCTTAAAATAATTATGCTCTAATAGATAAACTATTCTTTTTATCTAAAAATGAATCAATTTAACCTGTAGCTTGTTTTCATTATTTTTTGTTCAGCTTTTTTATAGTTTTTTTATGTAGTTTTTACAGATATTTTTATAAAGCTAATTCTTGTTTTTAAATGTTTGAAAATTTTAACTCATTTAGGATAGTGTTGAAACTGAAGAAAAAGAAGATGATACAGGTATATATTGTTTTTTTTGTTTTTAGTTTTCAAAAACTTATGGGTAGTTTAACTTTTAGACACTTTCATAGTATTTTTGTATTTATTTATAAAATCATTTTTAGAATTTTTTACTTATGTTGAGTTTCTTTTTTTTATTTTGCGGTGGTTTTTTTTCTTTTAATTTTTAGTTTGGTTACTTTTAATCTCTGAGTTTTTTTTTTTGCAATGACAGTTAATATAAATTGTAAAAATAAGTATAATGAATAAAAATTACAATTTAAATGAGCAAAGTCCTTAATTTTGACAGATTGTAATATTTAGAGGTGGCTAAAGTTGGACAATTTCAGAAACACTTAATATTTTTCTTCTCTTTTTTTGGCCTCGACAAATTTATTTATAAATTATCAAGTATTGTTTTAAGAAATGATTTTTTAAAAAATACTTTATAAGATATCAAGAAAAAAATTAAATATTTTAACCAACAACTCATTTTTTTAATGCAATTAAAATTTTTTTTTTTTTTAATTGCACAATTATTTTTTCGTCATTCTTTATAAAAAGACTTTTAAATATCCGTTAATTGTTGATGTTGCTTAAATATATATTTATGTATAAACATATATAAACATTTTAGAGCATGCAGGGACAGATACAGTTAAAGAATGAGACTTTGCTGAATGACGAGTCAAGCAAGATTGAGTTTTAGTAGATGGAACTAGAGATGATAGCTCCTTTGTGCAACGACCATGATTTGTGAAAAAGAGAAAATGCAACTTTATGACGATAGAAAAGAGGTGCAAACTTAGCAGATAAAGTAGATCCAACTATGTTTACAATGTGCTTTTGGACCTTGTTTAAAAGAGAAAAAGCATCATTAGAACAACCAGCCCAAATATAACAACAGTATTCCATACAGGGAGGAATAAGAGGTTTGTAGAGGTAGAAAATGGAATTAGGAGAAAGGAAACGGCGAACACAATAAAGAGAAGTAACCTTAGCAGATGCTAATTTAGCCATCAGTTGTATTTATGGTTTAATTAAGGTAAACGATAATCCAAGAAGATGTAAAGAAGAGGACTCAGTGAGAGGGTTGCCATTCATTAATATAGGAATATTAACAGTACTGTTACAGTTGTTTGCAGTAAATAGCTGAGTTTTGTTGGATTTAAAATTTGCAAGACACTGTGAGCCCCAATAATACTGTCTTGACTTTTCGTCAAGACAGTATTATAAAGTTAAGCCATCAGCAAAAAGAGCTTCTTTAGACATAAGGTTGTCAGGAAGATCATAAATGTAGATACCAAACAAAACAAGACAAAGGATAAAACCTTGAGGTAACACAGAAGTTACTGGAAATAAAGAAGAGTTTTGGCTTTCGAGGATGACTTTAATAAAGTGGTTAGAAAGAAACGATTTGATAATCTCAAAAACTTTCCCAGATACGCCATTTAAAACAAGCTTATTGAGAAGACCAGCATGCCAATTTTTGTTAAGATATGCCAAGATCAATAGCCCTAGCCTCTCTGTCTCTATCTAATGCACAATAATATCTTTCAGTCACAGCAGTTAGCATGTCAGCCAAAGAACAGGAGGATCGAAAACCGTATTGATTTTCTGACAGTAATTTATTTGACTCAATATGGAATGTGAGAAATTTGTTGATCAAAGACTCAAAGAAGACTGATCAGATGATAATTAAAAGACTGATTAGATGACAATTAAGGGATATATATATATATATATATATATATATATATATATATATATATATATATACACATATATATATATATATATATATATATATATATATATATATATATATATATATATATATATATATATATATATATATATATATATATATATCCATATAAAAATCCATTTAGGTATATGGTCAATAGATTTAGAGAAGAGTGTATTTTAATACTTCTTGACACTACATCTTATCCCCAATACTCCTCTTTCCCCATGAATGTGATCTTTTAAAAATAAAATTAAGCATCTATAAGTTATACAAATTAAATAAATAAAAGTATATAATATATTTAAACTAAAGAGTTTATAAATTTAGTGTAAAGTTTACAGTTTTTTGCTTTGCTTGAATGTTTATATGATTTTGAATGTTTTATTTTGTTAAACATTTTTTCTTATGATTAAGGGGATGGGCCAAGAGAGAAAAGTACACTAAAAAAAAAATGGAAACCAAAGCCACCAATTCCAAGAGAAGCACATAGAGTTGGTTCAAATAAAAAAGTTTATTTTGTATGCAATGAACGTAGGTTTTTAAAATTATTTTTACATCATTGATTTTCACTTTTATATTTCATAAATCAAAATTTTAGTAAGTTAGTTTTTTTATTATTTTTTTAACTAGTAAACCATGGATCAAGTTACCCAATTTTTTAAATTTTTTTAGCTGGTGAACCATGGATCAAATTACTTTATGTTTTTATTCTTTTTTTTTTAGCTGGCGAACCATGGATCAAATTACCCCATGTTTCTCCAGCAGAAATTGTTGCTGCGCGAAAAATTATTAAATTTTTTACAGGTCGATTAGATACTCAAGTAAGTATAATGGATCTTGATTTTTCATAGCAGGGGTAGTTTTTCTTTTGTATGTATAGATGTATGTATGTATGTATAGAGTAGGTATGTATAAATGTATGTATGTATAGAGGGTAAAACACCCAGTCCAGAGCATAAAATAACACTAAACATACATATTAGATTTTTTACAACCCAAAATAAAGTAAAAAATAAATAGTCACCCACCAAAACATTTTAAAAACATTTTTTGAAAAAAAATTTAAGTGCATTCTTTGTTGACATCAACAAAACATTATCAAACTCCCTACTTTTATTTTAACCAACATTTAAGTCTAAAAAATGGAACAGTAAAATATTTTTTACTGCAGTTGTTTTTCTTTGTGCTTTTCTTCAACAATATTTTTGTCTTTCTCTAACAATTTCTTTACATTTTTTTTTTTTAATATTCTTAAATATAGAAACAATTTAAAGCTCATAAGAACAGCAATTACACAATTTGATTCAAGTTGTTGCAGCAGTTGCATGATTAGTTGCAAGATATTGCATGCAATCCTGGTTTACTGCTTTTATTTTACAAAATGTTTAATGAAAGGATAAAAATTCTTTAAAAAAAAAAGTTTATTAGTTAAAGTTATTATTATTGAAGTTTTTAAAAAAACTAGATGAAATAAAGTTCTTAGAGCATAAGGAAACAAATGCAGCATAAAGATTAGTCATGCCAAAGTGAGTTTTGGTTGATGGATGATAACTCATTTAAGCTGTGATCGTTATACTATTTTTAGAGAAAAAAAAAATACAACATAATGATGGGACAAAGGCTCAAGCTTAACAGTTAGCGCAGGTCCAACTACATTTACAATACATTTTTGTACCTTGATTGTAAATATGGTTTCCATGTGAAGTCAGTTGTGAAAGATAATCCAAGATTGTGTAAAGTAAAGGACTTAGTAAGAGTGTTGCCTTTAAAATTTAAATAACAGTGATGTGTTGATTTAAGCTGCAAAGATATCAATTATTTAAAACTAAATTTGAGTTCTATTTTAAAACTAGAAAATGATGAACCTCTAACAGAAAATCAGAAATGGAAATAGTTATTTCATCTGAGAATTTATTCTCAGCTATAAAGGTTTTAGAACCATTTTTGTAATCGTAATCAAAATTTTCCCACTTGGTTTTTCTTTTAAAGTAGAATTCAAAATGGTGTAAAACTTTGCATCATTATTTGAATGGAAGAATTGAGTGAATGGATAAATCTGATAATTTTTCTACATTCTTTTAAACACAAAAACAAATTAATGAATTTTGATATTCTTTTGACTTGAGTTATAATGGTATGCAACGAACAAATAAAAAATTTTTCTATGGTTATCCTGATTTTTTTCTGTATAGTTTCTTCAAGGTGTTATTCTCAATTCTTTAGATGTTTTGTTAATATTTATTTCTTTATTATTTATATTTTTTTTTTTTTATTAATATTTAGTGTTTTAGCTACTTATTTATAAACAAACTGTTTTTATAGTATTAATAGTTTTTCATTTTAAACCCAATTTTGTCACTTTTCTTAAAGTATTAATTTTTGCGTGTCAAAGTGACTAAGCAAAGATGGCAGTTAATGTTTTGCTCTGTGGTTGTTAGGACTTTATTTAAAATGTTTCTAAAAAATTTCTACTTTAAAGATCATCTTTAGATAAAATCGTATCCACCATTTCCAGGTAATGAATCTCAGTTACTTCGTGCACAAATTTCTCGAATATCTGCCTGCACTCAAATTAGTCCTGCTGGTTTCTACATATTTGATGATAATGATGATGAAGAGGAGGAAGATCTTGAAGAAGGTTTTGTTTTAACTATATTCTTCTTTGGTCTTTCCTGGTTTGTTTTTTTTCAATGTGTTTTTTTCTAGCTCACAAGTCTTATATGGTCAACGATGAGTTTGAGGGTCTTTCTATAAATGAACTAACAGACCCATCAATGACAAGTTGGGTGCACCATGCTCATTACCTCTTGCCGCAAGGTAGATGTTCTTGGTTTAATCCTTACGAAAAAGAAGACGAAGACACAGATGAAGAGGAAAGCGAAGATGAGGCAAATAAAGAATCCATAAAGCCTGAAACTGGTCCAACAATATTGTCAAGTGTTGCAGATGATTCTAGTATTTTATTTTGTTTTGTATTTTTTCAAAATATTTATATCAATCTGTTTTACTTAAATATAAAAAAAAAGAGTTAGTGGTGTATTGATGGATTTTTTTCTGTGCATATATTCTTGATATTGATTTCCGCTACATGGGCTTTCTTGTGAAGGCTTTTGCTAGTTTAGGGGAGATAATAAAAGTAAAGATTGATTTAGGGGAGATGAAAAAGTAAAGAAAAGTTTGTAAACACTTAGTTAAATGGTTTTTAAAATAAATAAATAAAATTTAATAATTCTGATAATGGTTTTTATAATATATTGTAATTGTAATAATAAATAGTAACACATTTGTTTGTTTTTTTATTTCTACATTATAGATGTTGGAGTACATAGAGCTTGGAGTGTTCGTATATCATCAAAAGTTTTACCAGACTATGCTGTAGCAGTTGCACATTCTAATTTATGGCCTGGTGCAGTCTCTATAGCTAAGGGAAAGTATGTTTTATGTTTTTACTAAGTATGTTTAAGTGTTCTTACGTATTTTATTTATTTATTTGAACTTTTTACTAAAAATCCAGTAAATGTCTAAACAGTTCAATTGCGTAGTAAATATATTCATTATAAATTCAACACCTAAAAATCTTGAAACCCATCACACTACCAACACCTTCTATCTATAGAACAATTCAATTGCACAGTAAATGTCTAAACTATTGTGCTTTGTAAAGTTGCATGATAGGTAAGCTAGTTCTGATCCAGAATGTTCTTAAATGACCTGTTAAGAACATTCTGGATTTGTAGACAAAAAATTGCTTAGGTAAGCTGCGAAGTCGGTCTTATTTCCAAAAGTTTTACTTTGAACATCAGGGTTTCTTAACCTGTGGTCCGTGGACTCCTTAAAAAACCATGCCATGCGTTTTTGAGTCCGTGGAGCACGCATGCATTTAGAAAAAATCAGATGGCGAAATTTTGCTTTTTTTATATTTTCAAAATTTGAAATTTTTTTTATTTTTATTTTCTATTTGAAATTTGGTATATTTTCAAAATTTTGAAGTCTCGATATTTTTGAAAAATAAAGAAAGCAGATCAAAATCGTCATTGCCGTCACTATCGTGGATGCAACTGAAAAGTTAAAAGCTGTTCTTGGTAAACTGCTACTTGGGAAAATGAGAGTGGATGTAGGTGTTAACGCAAATTTTTGAATGTTGGACGCTGTCGCACAGTAAAGTGCGATAAAAGGAAGTCTTAAAACATCTCGAAACACTACAGAACTTTTTTGAAGGGTGCTTTTGCTCCTGAAAACTGTACTCAGGAGACTTGGGTGCCTAATCTATTTATGATTGATATCAATGATGAAGATTAAAGATTACTTAATTGACATAAGATCCAAAGCAGTATTGCGAGCTGAATTTCATGCAAAGATATTTGTAATTTTGACAATGATAGTTTAGGACAAGCTTACCCTCTCCTTGATAAACAAGCAATGTCCATATTAATTTCGTTTGTTACTTTGTTACTGGGTACCTTTTTGAGTCAGGATTTTCAGCATGAGTGTCAATAAAAACTCAAAATCGTAACCGGCTAGACGTTAAAGACGAAATGCGTTTTATGTTGTCTAAGACAGTACCTCAATTTAGTATGCTCATCAAAAAAAAACATCAGCAACCATCTCATTAAACAACTGTAATGCGCTAAATTTTACTTGATACTAATAAATAATGGTGTATGTATATACGTATTTAAGTTCCTTTTTATATATATACATTTGCAATTAAGTTTAGAAGGGGTCCATCAAATTGCTAAAATTTTGAAAGTGGTTCGTGATTTTGAAAAGGTTAAGAACCACTATTATAGATTGTTGTTGTCGAAAGAAACAAGTAATAATGAGTTTAGGCTATATGTGATAAATGTGGCGGATGAGGTAATATACAGTATATATTATACAGTGTTGGATTATACATTATATATTATATTCAGTATTGGTAATGTTAATAAATATTCTTTTAGACTTTTTACAATAATATAATTTTCAATAAATGCTAAGTTTCTCCTAAGTAGAAGGACCTCACCCCCTGTCTTCTGGACCCAACACCCTAGGAGAAATATTTCCGTGCGCCGCTAAATCAAACTCTTTAATTAGTTTCCGTAGCGACTCTATGACAATAGTTAACAATTGTTAACAATAAGTTTGGTCATATAAAGCTTTTTGTAACCATATAAAGTAGAATATTTTTTATTTGTTGTTATTTAGTAAAGTAGTTCGTACTATAGGTATCTTGTTCATAAATTTACGGTTACTTTTTTAATAATATATACGAGTAATTATTAAAAAACATTTTTATTTTTTAGATTTTTTGAAAACCTATATATTGGTTGGGGTCAAAAGTATTTGCCTTCATACTATAATCCACCCGCTCCACCAGAAGTCCAGCAAGAATTTCCTACTGGTCCAGAAATAAACGAGCAAGAGGATCCAACGGCTGAAGAAGAAAGAGCTTTAAAAGCCAAAGAAGAAGTAGAAGCTGGTGAAGAAGTAGAAAACGAAGAAGAAGAAAATAATGATGAATGAATAAAAGAATATATAATATATTAATTTATGTGTATTTTAGTTTTATTTACAATAAATAATTTAAAGAACTTTTTTTTTATATATTGTTGTGCATTAATATATATATAATATTTTACAAATATTATAGTGTGTTAAAATAAAAAATAATATTTTATAAATGTTATTTGTGTAATAATAAAAATGTCCAACTATTTTTTTTTTGTTATTACTAGAACATTGGTTCATGTAAAAGATACATCTACAGTTATGCAAGAGATTATTACAAAAATTCAAATCAATGATTTCTTAAGTTACAGTAAATATTTTTATTCCCTAAGGGAAAGCTAACGAGATTCAAAGCTTGATGATGCCGGAGTAAAGAGATTCTTTTCTTATAGTGGTTGAAAATTTAACTAAAAAGTTAAATCCACCGCGGAGGATTTAACTTTCTAGTTAAATCCTCCGCGGTGATACCATCGTTAGGTCTTTTTTTAGCGTAGGTCTGCCATACGTCCCCGTGCATCGGGATACATCCCGGCGTAATTCGCTTTCTATTGACACAGTGAAATGTATAATTCAACGTGATATGAATTTTAAAATTTCATGTTGTTAATTCTACAACTATGTAAATAAGAAAAAAGAGCTGCTACGAAAAATAAGAACACCTGAAAAATATGATTGGATAAAATAGAGTGATAATGAAATCAGAGAGAGTAAAGGTGAGTGAATGTTGCGGCAGTGGCGCAGTGGTTAGAGCGCTTGCTTTATAAGCAGAAGATACAGGTTTGAAACGAACCTTGGACATATTTTAGCGTCACGGTAAGGAAGGAGGCGTGAACTTCCTGGTTAAATTCACTTTTGCGGTGTCCTGTGACAAGACCGTTAGGTCTTCTCGGGGCGCCTAAATAACAATTAAAAAAAAATGTTTTGATTAGCGGATATGCAGTTAGGTTATGCTTGGTTATTTAAATTTAGTTGAATTAATTGGTTCTTCTTAGCTTCACATCGCCCACCAAAAAAAAAAATTTCCTGTTGACTAAAATGAATTACCATTGGAGTAACAATGAACAAAAATGCGAATGATCGCATTTTTGTTCATTATCACCCCAATTGCATTTTTGAGATTAGGGTGACAATGAACGTTCAGAAAAATATTATTTTCTCAATAGATAGTACGTTCGCGTTCTTTTGATCAAGATCAGAAGAACGCGAACGTACTATCTATTGAGAAAATAACATTTTTCTGTTTTTTTTGAAAGTAGGAAACTCCAACTTTGGGAAAAATTAAAATTTTTTCAAAACTATTTCTCTCAAATTACATCAGTAGGGCTTCCAGATATAAATTCTTTTTAAAAGTTCGAACCTGAACATTTTTAAACTACTACGGAAAAAAAGTTCGAACTATTTCAAACTTTATTTTAGTTATGTTAAAACAGACAAAAGTAATACAAAACATGCGTAAAAGTATTTATTTTTTTATTATCATTATTTAAGAAAAAAGTAAATCAATGAGTACTCTTCATAGTTTGCTTTAAAAAAAGTGCATTTAAAGATTCGTCATTTAAAAAACTTCTTATTTTAGCAGTAAAAAGTCCAAGAAAAAGCTCTCTCAGCTTATACGAATGTAGAAGAAATTGTTTGAAAAGCTTTGAAAAGTAAATTTAAATATTTGGGCCTAGCTTTGCTAGCTTCAAAAACAGCCATAACCTTTTGAACAACGTCTGTTCCAATTTCCTGATGGTCAAGTTCCATTTCATTGTTTGATTGTTTAATTAAAAGTTCGAGTTTTTGAGCTAAATTTAATTCATTTTTGATTCTTTACGTTATCAGTTTTGCCATCAGTTATACTATTTACTTTCTTGTCATCATCGAAGCTATTGTCAGATGGCTGAAATAATTACTGAATGAGATTAGTAGCAAGATTAATAATCGTCTTTTTTTTAATCGTCTTTTTTTTTAATTCTTGTTGCCAAATGGTCATCTTTATTTAAGATATTCGGATTTGACAAGTATCAAACTTCATGAGAAGAATTAAATGAATCTTTTTTTTTTCAATTGTTCTATATTCAAATATCTGTTTAATAAGTTGATTTATAGGTGTATTAGTTTCATGAAGTTTTATTTTTTTGTAAATTTAATCAAAATTTCAGAATACAAAAGATCAGCATCTCCGTTTGAAAGAGTATTAATGGCCAATTTTAGTGGTTTTAAAACAACACATTTCATTTATGACATTAAACAAAGTTCATTTATGACATCAGAAAGTTCATTTATGATATTAAGCTCATTTTTAGTTAAAGAAAAATCAATATTCATACCAATCAGAGCTATTTTTACTTCTATTTGCACTCTAAAAAACGTTCAAGCATACCAACAGTGCTGCTCCATCTTTTCTTTGAATCACAAATCATAGCTTCTTCTTTTCCAAACTTTTTAGTTATATTTGGTTGAAGTTCATCATCATTGCTCACTGGCAATCTTCAAAACTGTTTAACCAATTTTCTTACTTTGGCCACAGTTTATTGATATTCAAGTTTCAATAATGGAATAAAATCTTCACTAACTTCATGAATAGTTTGAATATCATCACCAACTTTAGTCCCATCTTCATCATTACATTACATCATTACATAATCTACAGCTTCCATATCACCATCAACAGGGTTATTATCAAAACCATGTGTATCAACTATGTTTTTTGTAAAGAGCACATTAATCGCACATAGATGAATAGCGTGGTTGCAACACATTTGATGTTCAAGTTTAGTGTCATGACCAATTTTTTTCATCAAGCTTGCTCCATCAGTAACAGAAGCTACAATGTCTTTGTCCAAATTTAAACCAAATGAATTAAGATTATCACTGATTAATTTAATAGCTTTTGTTGCTGGCATTGTACCTTAGATTCTTATCATTCCAAGCGATTGAAATTCTTCATTATAATGTAGATTTAAGTTCATATATCTTTTGTTTTTTAGAGAAGTATATTCATCAAATGTAAGACTAAATTTACGTTTATCTTTAAGTTTTATTTTCAAAGACTTTGAGGTCGCAAAGTTTCTCTTTTAGCAATGGTGTGAAAGCTGATTCCATCAACAGCTGATAGTCGACTCAAAATTTCAGGTAGAGTTTTATGATCGTCTTTGAAAAAACTTTCAATTTGCGGTATTTTGGCAGCAACAATGTTCGCTGCAGCCTCGGGCGCAGAGTTATTGCATTTGAGCATTTCAATTTTGTGCTTTGTTTTTAATTGTCTTGTATTAGCTGTTGTTGTTGAGCCAGGTGTTTTGAGAATAATTTTACAGACCTTACACTTTGAACCCTGCAATTCTTCGGAAACTTCGAAATATCTCCATGTCTCAGATCTTCAAGTTGTGCTTACATCTTTAAACTTATCCATATTTTTTTTATTTTGTACGACTTTTATTAGCTCGTCAACGCTATATTAACGTCAACGCTATATTAACGTCAACGCTATATTAACGTCAACGCTATATTAACTTTTTTTTTTTTAATTCAGAAATTTTAACGATCTATGGTCTTGTATGATCTATATCTTGTATGGGATTTCTTAAACATTTAAAAATATGTAATGCACCTAACTAATTTAATTTTAAAACTTAAAAGTAACGTTCTAAATCATTTGTTACATAATCCTTTGTGACTTACACTTATAAGTATTGCCTTTGAAAAAAGTATTACACAACAAAGTTGAGAGTAACGAAAACTGTTTTAAAAAGTCACCGTTTAAAAAAGGTTTCGGTTTAACTGTTAAAAAATGATGATAAAGAATCTAGTTTTGATATATACACATGTTCAAACTTTTAGAGAGAAAAAGTTCGAACTTGAACCTCTTTAAAAATGACAAACGTTTGAGCCTGAACATGTTCGAACTGTAAGGATACAAATGTGTATGATTTGAAGGAAACAATGCAAGCAAGCTCAAAATTTGGTGGATGCTCTTGAGTGAGATATTAGAAATAATTATTTATTTCCAGAATATACCTTATTACCAAATAATGACTTATTACCAGAATATGACTTATTATCAGTTGTATGTTTGTCTTAAATTTTAAATAATTTGAAGTCTTGAAATATGAAGCAACATTGAAACGACTGTTCGGGAAATTAAAGAGTCCAATGGAGATTTGGTTGAATATCTGCATAATGCATCTGCATAGCAGAATACCATATATCATTTCTTCATTTTACTGATGACGGTATAGAAGTATACTGTGAGCAAACAGGAGAAGCTATTCATCATGGTTATAATTACTTTTTCCTCAAAATGCAAGAGCGTTGACTTAAAAGGCGTTTTAAATGTTTTTTTTTACTAGAGACATCAGTTAGGTAAGCGTAAATCCGGATTTTACGAAATTATTTTTTTTTCTAGCCAATTTCTGTGATACGCTTTTTCAAGTTTGTTTAAAAGTTGCATGGTAAGAACTTGTTTTGTTGTGTTCATTTTTAGAAATACGTATCAACATAAATTTTTTTTAATACTAGAATTATGGAACTTTAATTCTGAACGCATTTCTTTGATGTAAAATTTCATTTATTATGAATTTGATCGATGTTAAAAATATGCTTGTGATTCGGACATAAAGTATATATCGAAGGAATGCTGGCATATTCTCACCTTAAAATAATTTTTTTTCTTACTACCTACCGAATTTCATTAAAAAAAGCATGCCCAGACACCTTAATAACTTACCCCAATTAAATAAAAATGTGCTTAATGTTTGGACATCAAATATATATCAAAGGAATGTTGGTTCATTTTTTAAAGTTTTCTCTCATCTTTAAAAACCTTTCTTCTTACTACCTGCCAAATTTCATTAAAAAAAAAAAAAAAAACACATTGACACTCTGAATACTTACCTTAAATAGATAAACAATTACTTGTTGTTTCGAAATCTATAGAGAAATCATCCAAAAGACTTCAAGCCTATCAACCTTAAGTATCAAAATCATATTTGATGGTACTCTTTTAGAGTATATTAAAAATATAAACAAACATTTTAAACTTCAATAAAATGTTAATATATTCTTGAAAAAAATTACATTTTCCAACACATTTACGGGTTTTCTAGACAGTTCTCTAGCTTCATTTGTGCACCATTTGTAAATACATAATGCCTTTTGTACGAACTTTCGTTTAATACCAAGTTGTATGTATTTTAATAAATCAATTTTAATAAGTAAAATATTATTGAAATTTAAAATCTTACCTTTCTAATACATTTCTTCAGAACCATTTTGTTTCGCATTTACATCCACCAAGACCAAAACAAATAGTTAATAAGTTAAACTATTTTTTCTGAATGCTTGGTGGTTATTCATGCCAGATTCAAACCGCTTGCACATTACAGTAATAGCGCGACCGCTACTGAATCCAGCACTTCAAACCGTAGTTCCAAAGATACTAAAAGCAATATCACTCTTAACAATCTTTTAAAACGAAGTAAGCAGTATCAAAAGATACGAAGTAAGCGACTGAACCCACGACTGAACCTCCTTCCAATTCATATTTTTGGAGGAGAAACTTCATTGTGACAAGAGTAGGTAACGAGAGGCTTGCGAGTTAGATTTTTTAACTGAATATAACCAAGTTTTTTTTTCTTTTATACGCGGTGATTGCACCCGTCTTTCGAAACTGATTAATTAACTGACCTATCAAAATTGATTGATTGATTGAATGATTGAATAGTATTTACTTTAATGATTTGTGATTAGATAAATATTACGTCATCGTTAATCCAATATGTTTGATTGGATAAATAATGCATCATATTGCATTACTCATACATTACGTAAATTGAAATCCATTAATCCATTAATATATTATTAATGCTCTTAAGACTTTTGATGTTCTTTAGACAAAAAGATTATAATTTTTAGGAAATGCTTTTGCTATATTTTATTAAAATAGCATTGCAAAAACGTTTGGTAAAAATTATTTTCATTTTTGTACTTAAAAGCGGGAAAAAAACTTTTTAATTCAAATTTAATAGATCAGTAAACTAAAGATGGACAGTAGGGTGGAGCGATTTTCATAGCAAAAAAAAAAAAAAAAAGTAAAAATTGATATTCCTGAGACACCAATCGATGTCTGTTAATTATAAGATGAAAGTAAAAAAATATTTTTGATTTTGATGAGATCTTAAGGTTCCTCTTTGGATTCTAAATTCTTGACGGATCCTAATATTTTTGAATTTTTTTTTTCTAAACCATATCAAACTTGGACTCAAAAAGCAGAAAAAAATGCTTGTTTTATCCACAATAAATTTATTTTAAAAAATTTAAGTGAAACAAATATTTGCGAAAATTTATACCGTGGCCCATATTTACATAACAAAATAATATTTCAAAATATGGAACTTTATAAAATGGATAACCTTATTGCTCTGAAAAAAAAACTAAAACATATTATAATTAAATTAACTAACTTCATCGAAATGTATTAAACAATTTGGGAAAAATAGTAATAATAAAAAGCCCTACTGCTTCTACTATATAGTAGATACCAAAATACTTATGTGTATTTGTTGAACTAGTTCATTAGAGTTTATCTTATGTTTTAAAGGTTCTCGATGAAAAGACTATTTTAGTCTTCTGCGAGTTTCCTTACAACAAAGAAAAATATTTCTTAAGAATAATTTTATATATATATTCAACAACCTCCACAAGCAAGTCCCTAGTAGCCCTGTGGTACGACGGACTTGCATATATTTTTTAAATGCATGGGTTAATCGACTGCACTTTATATTATAAACAACAATTAGTTACCTTATGTTGTACAGTGTACAACGCGCATGCGCTAAACAGAATTTCGAATTTCTTTTGTATTACTCCTTACAAAAATATTGTAAAAATTTTAATGGTACAAAAATTGTTTAATTGTACGTTTTGTACTTATATGTAAAAATATGTAATTTTGTTTTATTGAAATATATACGGATACTTGTGTTGTAAAAAAAAAAAAAAAAAAAAAAAAAAAAAAAAATTTACCTTTAAACCCCCGTTTTGATGAAGACAGGGATTTTTTTAATAAAAAAAAGACTTTTTATTTTTCTTTAGTTTTTAAATAAAACAAATATTATTTTCAAAACCAGCATATTATTCTGCTTCTTTTGATTACCAGGTTGATATAGTTTAGAAGAAAAAAAATTTAACAATATCAGGATCCGTCATAAATTTAAAATCCAAAGAGAAACCTCAAAAACTCATCTAAATTAAAAAAAAAAAAAGTAAGGTTCTTTTTTCATCAAAAGCCATCGATTCGCAGCTCTGGCAAATCAAATTACGAAAATTTTTAATGAATGATTAAATTTAAATTAAAAATTTATCATTTATTATTACCAGGGCTGTGGAGTCGGAGTCGGAGTCGGAGTTACTACATTTTTAGAGGAGTCGGAGTCGGAGTCGCTAAACAAAATCGCGACTCCGACTCCTATAGTGAAACTTCTCGGCATTGCACGTGCATGTACAAAACATTTAATCAGCCTTATGTTCATACTAAACCTCAAAGAACATTTCATAAATTTGTCAAAAAAAACTTTTTAACATATTGAGTAATATTTTTTAAAGATTTCAAAGAGTTTTTCAAAAGTTTTGCTTTGGAGTTGTAGTCGGAGTTGGAGTCGGGGTCGGAGTCAGAGTTTCACTCAAGAAATTTCTGAACTTCAGTTTGTGAGTTATTGTAAGAACTATATTGTTGATTTATAGAGCGAGTTTTCTTTTTCTTTTCATATTCTACAGCAAACATAGTATATTTACGTATACGTTTTTGTATGACCTTATGAAGAGTTGCACCCAAAATTATGTTGTTTTTTAATTTCTTTCTTATGTCTGATTATTTTTTGATGATTGAATTCCCATAGGACTAAAAATAAAGGAAAAAAGGTGCCATTTTGATGAGTTTTTAGTAAAACTTACATTTTTCAAACGCTCTGCGCTTACACAAGACAAACTATTAGAGAGGAAAAAAAAATTATTAACGTTTTTTTCCAATATTCTATAATATAATTAAATTATTACGCGCTCTACCCTTTCTTACGTTTATAAATATTTTTTTTCTTGTAAAATCCATAATGGTAGACAACTTGTCTTACGTCTACCGTGTTTGTATGGTCCTGAGTAAAGTAACACCGTAAGTTATGTTTTATTTTTATGTCTATATTATGTTTACTTGTTTTTGACGATTGCATTCTCAGAAGCTTTTCTAAAAAAAGGCAAAAGAGTGTCATTTTGAAAAGTTTTTAGTAAAACTTACATTTTTCAAACGCCTCTTCTAATATCCTAATACATAAAAAAAAATATTGCGTGCGCTCCCATATCCAAAATTTAAAAAGTACGACCCACCCTAATGGTCAAAGTCTAGAAGTCAACGTGCGACACCAAAATATTTTTAAAAGTTAATGAAGAATAATGTATTGTTGGAAAAAAGCTCACACCATGTCACTATACGTCAATGAGCGAAATCAGGATTTTATTTACATTTCTTAAAGATTTTTCCAAACTTTTAAAAATTTTTTTACGGAATAAGGTTAGTAGTGTCTAATTATATCATACATAATAATGTAATTATTATATCATAATTAAAAAATTTTATTATTTAAAGATTGTTTAAAATTTTTTCAAGTGCGGTTATTTAAGAGAGGGAATTTTATGATTAAAACACAGGTTTTTGATAAATTTTTGAATTGCTTACAAAAGAAAATCAAACTTCTGCATAATACTCAGTGCCGTGGGTATTGGGTTGGAGGCCCCCCTTTTTTAAACCTGTTATTAGGGAGTCAATTTCTTAAAAATTTTCCTCTAGAAAAAAAAAAAGTTTCTTAAATTAACAAAAGGGCGCCTATATTTGCACAAGGGCCTCCTAAATTCGCTACCCTCCTCCCGATCGGAGGGCTTAAGGTAGCCTAGCCATGGCTCTAATTAAGTAAATATAAAAAAAGCTCATGCTTAATATTTTTTTTTAGTTTAATTCAGTCCGCAAAGATTAATGGATTGAGTTTAGTTACTACAAAGATAGCCATTTTTTATTTGATACAAAATTTATGTAACTAATCAACCTTTTATAAGAAAATTAAACAGGCATATTTATTTATTATAATATAAATATTATAATAAATAAATATGCCTGTTCAATCAAGAAAACTATCGGTTTACTCTTTATTACCGTTAAAATAAAATAACCTGAAAAAAAAGACAAAACTTCAGTTTTATAAATACATGATTTTTTTTGAATATACACAAAAATGAATTTATGATGTCGTGTGTAAAAGTTATTTCAAAGTATTCAATGTTTTTTGGATTAATAACCTATTTCCATTTATTGGTGGGAGTGCGACACTTATTGCGAGGATAGTCAGAGTCTTTTTTACCCTGGTGTAAGTCCCAGTGCAATGTAGATGTGGACCCTAACACCCTTGTATACGGGGTCTTGCGACAAAGCTTTCCGAAAACAATTTTGAATTTGAAATAGCTGTAAATAAATTTACTTTTAAAAAGATGTGATGAACGTCTATTTAAAAGTCGTGATTTAAAAAATAATTTTAGTATGTGTGTTGCAATATATAGATAAACCAGTTTTTGTTCAAAAACTGGTGTGCCTTCATATGCAATTATGCCTCTACTTCCGCTAATTTTTATTATTTGATCGATTCTTTAAAAATTTTATTATTTAAACATGCAAATGACATTTTGTATGCAACTTTTTGTTGTATGCAACTTTATATTGCAAATGTAAAATAATTTAACAAAAATGTAAAAGTTATAATAGTTGTAAACATTTTACTTAATATTTTTGATTTGATTAATTTTTATTTTATGTAACTAACATCAACAGGGCTAGATGATTACTCACAGGGGCCTGAAAAGATCTTAAAGATTGATGTCCATGCCAGTTAAGTAGTGTACTGTCATGATGTAAGACATAAATTAAATCTGTTTGTAGTTAGTGTAGTCATAAAAAGTGTTTAAAAAATGTTGTTAAAAAAAAATGTGTGTATTATAAATGTTAAAAAGATATATAGTTTTTTAATATCTATAAATTTTTTAGTATTTATAATTTTAAGTAAACTTTATTGAACGGATTTATACTTCATTAAATATTTTTTATACTATTAATTTTTGAGTAAATTTGTTTAAAAGATATATACTCTGTTTTTTTTTTTGTTAACAATTTATGCTTTTTATAATAAATTTTGTTAAAAAAACTGGCTTCTTTTTTATAAGTAGCTCCTCCCCAATTAAACATTCAAGAGTTTTTATTTCCTTTATTAAATATGTTTAACTTAAGTTTATTGTTTGTTTTTTTATAAAGGTATATGTACAA